ACAACCAAATCATGATGTATCCTCCAGATTGATTGGAGCGTACAATAATAAGTCCATAAGATGCATGACAATTCACTAAGGTATACATATTTGGTTGTGCCTATCCTTTTCTTCATCTCATCTAAAATTACATTATTTGTTGCTTCAACTTGGCCAATGCTTTGAGGGTGCTCAACTAATGAGATGTAGTGTTTGATTCTAATCTTTGTTACAAGAAATATTCAAAAACAAATAAATAAATTATCAATGAATTGTCACCAATGGTTAGTCACCAATATGTAAGGGAGGTTATAAATGTTGGTGTAACACCCTCTTATCCGAATAAATAAATAAAGAATTTAATAAATAAAAATTTTTAATCCAAAAAATTTATATAACAATAAAATTCTTAAACATCATTTAGTAAAAGAGTTCACAACTCTTCTTAATATCTTTTTTAAGTAAAGGATAATATAATAAAATAATGTGTAAAATTTAAGCAAGGCATAAACCGCCTAATTAAACAAAACTTCAACGATAAAACATGATTCAATAAAACTTAAATAATTCTAATGAAATACTAAAAGTATAAGCTCCACCCCGATGTCACACTAATCATAGCAAAATTTCAAATAAGTGAAGCTCTAAGCCTCTCCTTCATTAAATACATTACCTGATGTATTCCTTCCACCATGGGAGAGACCAAAACGTCCAAGGTGGGAGAGAGACTCCTTGCCACGGCCAAGGTGATGGCTTTAGGAGCTGGAATTTCCTTCAAGGGTGGAGAAACAAGGAAGGTGGGCGTGAAGGGTGGTGGTTGGGCGAATATGAGAAAAAAGGAGGAGGAAGGTGTCTAGGTGGTTCTAGGTTGGCTCACTTCACCAAGTAGAAGGTATGCTAGGCTAAGGGTATTTATAGGGGTGGAAGGCATCTAGGGTTGCATTTAGGGTTGCATGGCTGTGTAATGCAAGTCAAATGAAACCTAAATGAACCCTAGATGATGTGTGGGTTCCTTCCTACCAAAAAACCAAAATACCCTTTGACCTAAAAAATAGAAAAAAATGGACTTTAACCTCACAAGTCAAGGTTAAAGCCCTAAAATAAATCCTAAACTAATTTGCCTTATAATACAAAGGCTAAATGAAAATACATAATAAAATCCTATTATCTAAAGTACCCCAATACAAGGGTAAAAAATGAAATAAAGCAATAAAATCCTATACTACTCAAAATGGGCCTAGGAGATGGATCAATACTCCACACTCATGATGAGTATGGCTCTAGGCATGGTATCTCCTTCATCTTCCTCCATTCTCCTAGCCATGGACTTAGTAATGGGTCCAACATGAAGGTCCAAGGGTGGCCCTCCATCACTCTCCTTCATTAAATACATTACCTGATTTATTCGTACAAATGGCGGTCAATCCAAACACAAACATAAATTACATATATGGAGTATAAGAATAGACACACACATCTACAATATAAATCACATCTTAGATACATATAAATCTTCATCCACACATCCATACTAACCATTTCCATACATTATTTCATCATCTATAACCAACAAGTCATACAAATCATCTTAATTATAAAATAAGACTGTTGTAGTTCATGCACCTAACTCCACATGCATATAATACTAATCTCCTCCTCCTTATCAATACATAATAGTCTAGGAACCATGGAATTAGACGACCCATCTATAGTGTAGGTACCCATATATAGTGATCCCCTTGACCATTCTCGTCCAACGAATGCCTATTAGGGTTTTGTTGAAATGTTATAGTTGGTCATGATTGCCTTTCATTCTCGTTATAGGTTCCTCACCATAACATCCCCTGAGACATAGGTAGATGACCTATGATATCCCACCTGCATAGACTCACACTATCCTGGGAATAAAGTATGTATGTATGGACTCCAAAAAATACATCATAACATCACAAATATGCAAAAACCCTCTTCCTCATTTGTTAGTCTGCAACACTGGACTTAACCACCACATTGCCTCACATTACTCATAGTAATTCAACACATCATACATCTCTATAACTTATCGTACAACACCTTCACACAACATAACATTATACATTATTATTACTCATACTATTCATTCATCACATATTACAACATGATAACATCATTTATCAATGTCTCAAATATTGTACACATCATTCTCAAGTGAACATCCACATTTTATATCACATATAAGCACAATTTCTCAAGATTAAATACTTAAAGAATAAAACAACTCACCATTACAATTCACAAACTATTTCTTTTTATCTTAAGTTTTTATGACGATATGTGGTCTAAACACGTTATTTAGAGATGTGTACCTATGAAATCAAGTTTATCTTAATTTTATTAGAAATTTAAGATAATTATCTACAACTTCTATGTTGACATAAATAGTTGATTTTACCATATACTATTTTTAAAAATTACAAAATAGTAGTATTTTAGCCTAATTTTGATAGCTTAACCTTTGCTCACTAATTTGATCATAACTTGAGTTCTAGGCCTTCTTTTTGAGGATTCTAGTGCCATTAGAAAGATAATATCTAAGGCTACAACTCTTATGAATATCATGAAACCTAATTTGGTCATATAAGGGTCTTAGAAAGGCTTACAACTTATAGACATAACTTTTCACGCATAAAACATGAGGCTCATCTTGTGACTCATACAACTTGATCATTTTTTAATATTTTTTATGTAACTCTTGTGTTTAAACTGTATCATCAAATGTTTACTTTCTAACCTAAGAAATAAAACTTTATTTGGTTAATCGCATATAGAGCAATCATCTAAATATCGAGATGTATGCATAATAGAATTTTTAGAATTAAACAAGTCACACCAAATCCCTAAATCATACATCCAATACAATCAAAACTCCTAAATCTCATATTCCTAACCCTCAAAGATTGCAATTTATCATCAGATTCTAAATTCAATCATAATCCATGCACAAAATTACATGGACAACACAATAATTCAACCTTAAAGCATGTACATAATCATCCATAGAAATCAAATCAACAACCTAAGAGGCTTAGAGATTTCATTTCTACCATTATCCCTCATATATGTCCATGGATGTGATAATCTCACTCCCTTTACCTAGGGTGATGATCTCATGGTTCAATGTACTTCGACCGCTATTTCTTACCTTCCTTAGTGATCTCCTCTAAGTTTCCCTCTATGAGTGGTCTAGGTATTTAGAAGATGTGTAATAAACCTAATGTCCTCTTCTATTTTTCTTCTTTTTAATCATCCTCCAGGTTAGGCTCAGAGTCCAACCCAATGTTCTCTAATTTACCACTCCCCTTATTTTATTTATTAATAAAATATTTTCCTATATTATAATCTAATTATCCTAAATTATTTATTTATTTAAAAAATAGGATGTTACAGTTGGAGTAAATCTTTGTGATCAATTATTTATTAGTCTCATGAATTTGATATATATATTAAAAAGGTATATATGTTCACTATTATGTTATTAATTATATAGCATTGCAAGGTCCTTTGAATAATTGGTTTGTTCAAAGTTATATCATGTTTGACTTGATTGTGAGAATCTTTGAGTAAATATTCTTAAATCATTTGTGACCGAGTATTATTGTTAATTAGGAATATAATAATATATTGAGATAATTGTGTGAATTGATCGAGGGTCATATCTCACTAGTTATGAATATGAAATACATTATGTCAAGCACACAAGTATAAATATTAAGAGTTAATATTTATATTGAATGGACCTACTATAAAAAGGCTTTCTAATAAGTTATGCAAGTTATGATAACTATAATAGAGTACTATTTTGACTTGAAGTCGTTAGACTCCTATACATGTATAAATTGTAGATTTTGATGCTATCGAACATTATATGTTATAGGATAATTATAATGGTAGTTATTTGAGTATACAATAAATAATGTGGAGGAGGTAAATGATATAAAAATGATTCATTCCTCCTGCATAATAAGAGTTGTGCCTCTTACGGTATCTCGATTGAATGAAATGTGAAAGATGTGTGGTCAAATAGAAATGGACCAAAACAAACTTCTAAAAAAATTTCTTTAAAAATGAGAAGTATTCTATGTATCATTTTAAAATTTTTTACACATCAATAAAATCTAATAAATAAATAAAATAAAAAATAATTTTACAAAATTAACCTTGATCATTAATCTTATTTACTATAAATAATATAATACAATTTTTTTTAAAGAATATTATTAGTACCATAAATGAAAAGATATAATTAATCCTACATAGAAAAGGCTTAAATGGGACTTATTGTGAGGCTTAAATTTTGTTCTTACATGTACGTAGGATGCTTATTATGTAATGAGGGAGAACTGGATAATACTAATGGATAAATAGCTTTTAAAATTTTAAAAATTACAATATCTTTTTATCCTTAAAAATGATTATAAAGACAACTGTAAAGATTAAACTTAACCCATATAATGATAACCACATAGAATAACTCAAGAATTTATTCATAAGTCAACATTAATTAATAAATAAAAATCAAAATTAATTATCTTAATGAGGGGTGCTATCACACACTATTTTTTATTGGTTATGATTTTTGAAAATCACGAAATTATGAAAAAGAATCATTAAATAGTGTTTAAAATAGTAGTGTTGTGGAGTGTCTCTCACATTTCTCTTATATCAATATATAACTCTTTTGGTTGCTCCATTCAATTTCATTTATTACTGAATAGTGAATACCCAATCTCAGTGTTTCTTGTCCCCCTTTCCGCTGTATAGTCTATAAACTTGTTTAGCTAGTTGTCATGGAGTTAAAGTCAGCCCCACACCCAACGGTCAACAGTTCAAAGTTTTTAGAATCACACTACAAAAAGAAAAGATTCATGAAAAAAAAAAAGTAAATTATAATTAATTCAAACAGCTTCCCTTTTTATCACTTTCCATCTAAAATAAAAAAGTGAATATATTAAAAATTACAATTCCCTTTTGTGTATTCCATCATTGAGATCCATCAATATTAAAAAAAAAAAAAAAAACTCCTATATATTTTGCACACCTACCACCTAGATTCAAGGAAGAAAAAGAGAGATGGAGGATACCATGGATGGTGAAAGTGTGAGGTTCATCAAGGTATGGTTCACAACCATTTCATGTCTTTGCTATTGTTATTACATATCTTCAAGAATACCAAAAGGCTTCTTGAGACTTCTCTCCCTGATCCCCATTCTCTACATCTTCATCATTCTTCCCTTCAACCTCTCTTCCTTTCACCTAGGTGGCCCCACCACCTTCTTCCTTGTTTGGCTTGGCACTTTCAAGCTTCTCCTTTTCTCCTTCAACCAAGGCCCTCTTGCCCTATCCCCAAACGTTGCCCATTTCATCTCCATAGCCTCACTCCCCATCAACCCTAATAAAAAAAACCACACCCTCCAAAACCCAAAAAAATGGCTTTTCCTCCTAAAAGTGCTTATCCTAGCCATGATCATACGTGCTTACGACCATATACAAAACATGCACCCTCATCTCATCTTAGCCCTCTATTGCTGCCACATGTACCTTGGCATAGAAATTGTCTTAGCCCTATGTGCTGCCCCGGTTCGAACCGGTTTAGGCCTTCAAATAGAACCACAATTCAACGAACCCTACCTTTCTACCTCACTTCAAGACTTTTGGGGTCGTAGGTGGAACCTCATGGTGACCCGTATTCTACGCCCCACCGTATACCACCCCGTATACCGTATCTCTACGCATTTTGTTGGCCCCTCTTGTGCCACGTCATCTGCCATGTTGGCCACGTTCCTTGTATCCGGGCTCATGCATGAGTTGATATACTACTACCTCGCACGTGCGCCTCCCACGTGGGAAGTCACTTGCTTTTTTGTGCTCCACGGTGTGTGCACGGCGGTGGAGGTGGCGGTGAAGAGGGTGGCTCTCCGCCGCGGGTGGCAGCTTCACCGTGCCGTGTCGGGGCCGATCACAGTGGCGTTCTTGGCGGTGACGGCGAGGTGGCTGTTTTTTCCTCAGCTGTTGAGGAATGGTGTGGATAAGAAGGCCATTGGGGAGTATGCGATTTTGGTGAATTTTGTAAAGTCTAAGGTACCGTTACATTTGTTTGACTCTTCAAAGTGAACATTGGTGGGAAAGCTTAGGAAAATATGTAGTGAACATTGTGAAACTTCAAACATACAATATTAATTACTCACTTTTTTTTTTTGTCTTTTGTGAAACTTCAAACACACAATATTTATGTGGGTTTTTATTTTGTAGTTGGAATTTATGTGGGTCTGCTAAACTATAGATATTTTATATTATACCTGCTTCCATTCTAGAAATTGGGTGGATGAGTTTTGGTAGATTCCACACTAGGCAACTAAATTTTATATTTTGGACACATTAATATGGGAAGAAATTAAATATATACTCTTCCTTTAACTTTATTTTTAGTTTATTACATAAAATAGTAATATAAGAATAAAATAATTCAAATGACGTGTAAAATCATCTACTTTTCCAATATATGTATATAACAAGAGGGTTGTGAATCATCAAATGTGGGATGATCATCGCAAGCACGTGCTCTGACTGAAAAAGCAATATGAGTACAATCTCTGAAAAGTTTTTCTTTTTTTAATTTTCTAAAATTTAAATTTGTTGAAGAAAAAGAACACTAGAGGTACCAATTATAAGTTTTAGTGTCAAATATATGCAGCACCCGAAATAACATTGAATTGGACAGCATACCTTACATACCCACATAACCAATTTATACGTCAGTTTTACATATAACCATAAAAAATGACAAATCGTTAAAATTAAAAATAAATTGTTATATGAAATGTAACAGGAACGTACCTAAATATGGTTGATCCAATTTGTGGACCACTTTCAGAGTTACATAATTCCACAGTAAATAAAGGAAACTGAAGCTACGTACGTGAATTTAATGAATTGATTGCAAATAATGGTGTACACCCTGTGAGAAGTGGATGGCCCCCCCATTGTCTTTCCCTGATTGAAACTTGGGTCATGTTCAGACAAATTTAAAACATATTTCAGGCGAAGAAAATAAAATAATTTTTTCATAAGTTAAACTTTTTCTAAAAATATATATTTTAGAGAAGTTAATACTAAAAAATTTCTATAAATAAATTTATGTATAAACTAATTTTAAATTTTAGAAAAATCATTTTATATTTTTTTCTCGGTTAAATTACATTTATCTACTTTTGTCTATGTGCAATTTTGACTCTAATATTTTAAATTAGAGATATTTAATATTTATTAATTTTTAAAAATATGAATTCAATCTTATTTTGATATTTTGACATCAATTTACTTTTAATTTGACTTAAGTATTAAAGAAAGAATTTAATAAGAGAGAGATAAATATGTTAAAGAAATAATTTAATAGGAAAGAAAAATGAGTTGGAGAAGGAATTTAATAGGAGAGAGAAATGACTTTAGAGAGTTAAGTTAATAAGAGAGAGAAAATATTTTATTTTCATTTAAAATTAAATTAAATTACTATAATATCTTTTATACAAATTAACTAAATCAAAAGAAATGAATAGTTTTTTGTCCTAAAATTTTGGTGTAAGGTGCTAACATACTCTAACTAAAAAATAAGTGGGAGTATATTAACATTCCCCACCTATTTTTTAATTAGAGTATGTTAAAAACATACACCAAAATTTTAGGACAAGAAAATCGCTTATTTCTTTTAATTTGGTTAATTTGTATAAAATATATTATAGTAATTTGATTTAATTAAAAAAAAATTATCTCTCTTATTAACTTCATTCTCTAATTCATTTCTTTTTTTTTATTAATTAATTTTTTATTTGTTCAAAGAGAGGGGAGACATCATAGAGATGAGAGAGAAATGAGTTAAAGAAGAAATTTAATAGGATAGAGATAAATAAGTTAGAGAAAGAATTTAATAAAAAAGGGAAATGAGTTGGAGAAGGAATTTAATAGGAGAGGGTTGGAGAAGAAATAAAAAATAAAAAAAAGCGCATCCTCACTATCCTTTCCGCGTCCAGCTGTTGACAATCAGAACAAAGTCAAACAACCCACCCTCTCTCTCTCTCTGGCGGCAATAACAATCGTATTTGGTTCTAAATATTTTATAACACATGATTAATTATTGACATATAATATCATTATTCCAGCCTAAAGTCTTCAACACACATGTTGATCATTAAATAAAATTAAGAGAGAGCACCTATATTACTCATCATTTCCATTGACATTTCACATACTCATAGATTCAAGGTTTAGGAGATGATGGGTGGTGGTGAAATTGAGAAGTTCACCGAAGTATGGATTTCAGCCATCTTATGTCTATGTTATTGTTATTACATATCTTCAAGAATACCAAAAGGCTTCTCGAGACTCCTCTCACTAATCCCCATTCTCTACCTCTTCATCATCCTTCCCTTCAAAATCTCTTCACCTAACCTAGTTGGATACACTTCATTCTTCCTTGTTCAACTTGGCACTTTCAAGATCATTCTTTTCTCCTTCAACCAAGGCCCTCTTGCCCTATCCCAAAACATTTTTCATTTCATCTCCATAGCTTCTCTCCCCATCACCCCCAAACAAAACCCACCAACCGATCAAATTCAAAACAACAAACCCAAAGGGCTTTTGCCACTAAAAGTGCTTATTTTTGCAATTATCGCACGTGCTTATAACTTCAACGCATACTTGCACCCTCATTTCATATTAGTCCTCTATTGCTGCCACTTGTACCTTGGCCTAGAGCTTTTACTAGTCCTTGTTGCTTCCACGGTTAGAACCGTTTTTGGGTTTGAGATACAACCACAATTCAACGAACCCTACCTTTCTACCTCACTTCAAGACTTTTGGGGTCGTAGATGGAACCTCATGGTTACGCGTCTTCTACGCCTCACCGTATACCACCCCGTACGCCGTATCTCTACGCACTTTGTAGGACCCTCTTGTGCCACGTCATCTGCCATGCTGGCCACGTTCCTTGTGTCAGGGCTCGTGCATGAGTTGATGTATTATCACATTACGCGCGTGCCTCCCACGTGGGAAGTCACGTGTTTTTTTGTACTTCACGGTGTGTGCACGGCGGCGGAGGTGGCGGTGAAGAGGGTGGCTCTCCGCCAAGGGTGGCGGTTGCATGGCGCCGTGTCGGCACCGCTGGTGGTGGCGTTCTTGGCGGTGACGGCGAGGTGGCTGTTTTTTCCTCAGCTGTTGAGGAATGGTATGGATAGGAAGTCAACGGAAGAGTATGGTATGTTGGTGGATTTCGTTAAGTCTAAGTTACCATTACGAGTGCTTAATTATGTAATGTGAACATTGTTAAACCATGAATATATCCTAAAGAGTTAAAACATTATTCATGGTTTAACCCTCGAACTAGGATAATATTATTACTCATATAAATTTTTTAGGTCGAAAAAATTATTTAACTGTGGAATAAAGCTTGCTAATTTTGATAAATGATGAGTGTGACGTAATAGTAAACATTTGAAAACGTGCAATTCTTCAAAATTCTTTTTTTTTTATTTATTTAAATTCTACGATTTTTACTATAATTATGAGGTACTAGAACAATTATTTTATTTTTATTTTTATTTATTGTAGTTACTTGTTTTATTTTTATTTTAATTTAATATTTATAATAATTTATCTGTATAAAATCTTTTATATCTTTATATTATTTTTATATTTTTTAATTTATATATTAATGTAGCATTTATTATAGTTAAAAAGTTTAATATTAATATTTTGTTAATATATTTTAGTTTTTCTTTGATGATAAACTTTTTTGAATTTATAGTATAAATTAGTTTTTCAGTTGTATTATTTTATTTTATTTTTATATTTTAATGTTTTTATAATATTATTATAATTTTTTGTTTTTAATTTTTTAATTTTGTCACATTTAAACAAAATTTGTTATGAAAATTGACCTTTTAATTATTATTTTTTAATTAGTCTTTTTGTTTGATTCATTTTATACAAATTTTTAATCTAAAATTTATGTTATTTTGAATTTATTTTTTAAAATTTATTTATTCACATAATTTGATGTACCAAAATCCTTCAATTTTCATGGATACCATAGTAACTCTCTTTTTTTTTTCCTCCAAAGAAACGTGCGTGTGTATATATATTTATGAAAAGAAGGGTACAAACAATACCCACAAATACAATCAGAACAAACCAATAACTTAGTCCTTGCATCTTGAGTAGAAGATTATGAAATATTTATAATTCTGCATGATATCATAAATATCTAATAACCAAACTAAAAGACCCATGCACCGAAAATAAGTTATGGTACTAAACAGCACAAGATTTATACTAGAACTACACATCCTCCTTAAAAAAACACACCCTCCAATTAGTGCCCCCCTAAGTGCTTGATCTACATTAAAACAAAGAAAACATGACACTTCACCTCCAAACCAAAATGACAGATTCAGCTTAATTGTCGAAGCTGGAGGTTTTGTAATACAACCATAATCTCATTAACTCAATCAAATACCAAATCAAGTAAACCTTACTCAAATACCTCTACAAAAATACACATGCTTTTGTGCCTCTTTCTCAACCATGACCAAGACAAAAATATAACACTATCAAGATCGTTTGTTTATCAAAAATATGACCTTTGAAAATTCATGAATTTCTGTGATTCCAAATGCTCTAATTCTAAATAATAGCACACCAGCAAATTCCCCAAACCTCATCTTGATATTTAGAGCTATATATATATATCCATGACATAGTGTTGCCAGAAAAGTGCTTCTGTCTCCGATGGTAAAATAGTTTCAAAAGTCCGTATGAAAGGACTGTATTTGGTCATTTATTGGATTATGTGATGTGCTGTAATATTCTTTACCTCACAATTTTTTTATATCTTTTTTCTTCATACTTGAAAAGGAAAAAAAAGGGGGACAATATATATTTATTGAGATTTTTATTTTTATAAATTTATTACCTAACACAAACGATGTGTAAATATTAAATTTGATTCTGTTAAAATGCAGGATGTTACTTCAAATGAAATATACAGTTCTAATCATCGACTACAAATTGTAGATTACATTTTTAATTTTATCGAAAAGATGCTCATTTAGACCGCTCTCCCTTTATTTTTTATTTTATTTTAAATTTGTGTAATAACTCCATTAATATACACTAACGATATGATTTAGATGATAGGTATATTTAATGAATATTGGAGTGTGTTTGTTTGGCTAAATTTTAGAGGACTGGGATCGCAATGAATAAATTAACGTCGTCAAGAAATAAAGGAATATCAAATATATTACTATAAAATTGTGAATTACCATAGACCACATCCACGGGAATGTATTGTATATGTGAAAGGAAAGTTTATAAGGAAAACAAGGAAAATTGTCTGATCTTAATCTCTTGTACAATTTTATATGAAATAGATCGTGCTCCAATAGTAGCTTCAGCTTATGGCTTATAATTTCTCATCTTAAGACATGTAAAATTTAAAATCGAATTGTGTCAAGAGATCAGCATCTTTGTTATAGGTTTGTATCAATCTCATCATATTGATGTAAGTTGTGCAGGATGCATTGTTTTCTATTTTATATCATTAGGATCGATGAAATATTTTTTTAAAAGTAAATTTCAACTTAATTCAATTTTATAAAATTAATTTATAAAATAAAAACTATTTTTTATTTATATATTATTTAATTATATAATTTTTGATTGATTGACGTGAAATTTAGATATTTCCCGCCACCAGTTTTAATTACAAGAGGAAAAGACGTACGACTGAGCAAACATTAATTGCACGCATGAAATGTTGTCATTGGTATAATAATAAAAGAATTTCTACGATAGCCGTTGATGATATGTTACTTATATGTTATTATTTTAAATTCAAGTCATTTATAATTTTTTATTTATTTAAAATTTACATTTACGTTAGATAAATGATGAATACGAAATTCACGTTTTTTTATTTTTTTTTTGGAATCTTTCTGGCTTCCTCTTTCTTCCCTTTTTAACGCCGATGATCTGGCCCTGCGGGCCGGCGAGCGACGGCGAAGGCTGAGAGCACGATTGCCGGCGAGTGGAGCGTGGCGGAGAGGGAGAGGACATCAAAGCGGCCGTGGAAAGTGACGGTGGCGCCGGGAGTGACGGAGGGTTGACGGAGAGTGACATTGGTGACGGTTTCCGAACCGTACAAGACGCATAGGCCCGTGTTCTTTCTAAGGCTAAACCGGGCCAGGGCCTCGACCACGTCGCTTCCGCCCGGGATTTTGATAAGGAAAGAAGTAGTTCTAGGGATTTAGGTAACC